GTATAATGCTATTTTTTTTATTCAGGATGTAATTGGGATCTAAATCAAATGCCTTCAAAAAGTCTAAGTTATATATACATAGTTATCTTTATCAATTTTGTAATCTCATCTGAGTAGGAGCAGAGACCTGTTGAGTGGAAAAAGGAACATTCTGGCCTATTAGAGTGTTGAAATCTGTCTTGGATGGGAGGGATAAAGTTTGGAAGTGAGCTGTCTACTGGCAAACTGAATGGTCTGGGGCTGTCGCCCATTGAAAGAAGACAGGCAATGAAAGGAGGAAAGAAACCCTGTTAGAGCCTCACTCTGGATTATGAAGTTTGGGATCTGGCTGTCTTGAGCAATATGAGAAAAATCAACTGGCAAAAGTCATTTCTGTGCCAAAACCAACCAAAAAAAAAATCTCTTAAACCTTAAAAACATTGTTTCAAATCCAGTGAAATGGATAAAGTCAAATATATCAAAGTAAATAAATAAATTTAAATGTTAAAAACAACTAAAGAAGTCAGTCTTACACAAAGCATTATATAACCTTTATGAAAACAGGATTTATAGTGGAAATGCTGACAGACTAACTAAATCTGCAGTTGGGACACTACTACAGTATAATATTCTCATCCTGGCCCTTGTTCATTACACCTTCAGATTCATTTCCATGAATTTACTTAAAGATAAACTCGAACGTTTGCTGAAAGTAGCTTGTCAGTGTGGTTACAGGCTCTTAGTATCATTTGGTCAAAGCCAAAACAACCCTGTGAGAGCTGCAGCAGCAGAACAGCTTGTCAAACTAAAACCTTCAGCAGATGGTTCTAAATCATAGGAACTCCACTTTGTGTGCTGAATGCTTGAGCAGTTCCATGAATAACAGAAAGCTGTCCACAAATATGTGGGGAAAGAGCAGATGTGTGAGGCTGATGTTGCCTGATCTCCACCAAATGGAATCCTATTGCTGTCAAAAGCACTGTCTCTTGTCTGTTTGAGACAGTGACTTAAAGCATTCACCTGAAACACCTCCATTTTTTAAATACGGCACCTCTACTTGTTGCTGTGAAAACTGAGAATTTACACTGGCATGGTAGGAAGGTAGACACTGCAGCAATACAATGTCTGAGGGAATGGTTACAAATCTCTCAGCTTTTCTTTAAAATTTCTACATAAAACTTAAATGATTTTTGGTTTTGCCAACTTTGGTTCAATTTCACCCAGCAGAACAGATCTTTTTAATCGTAAAAAGAAAAGGAGGACTTGTGGCACCTTAGAGACTAACCAATTTATTTGAGCATAAGCTTTCATGAACTACAGCTCACTTCATCAGATGCATACTGTGGAAAGTATAGAAGATCTTTTTATACACACAAAGCATGAAAAAATGGGTGTTTACCACTACAAAAAGGTTTTTTCTCCCCCCACCCCACTCTCCTGCTGGTAACAGCTTATCTAAAGTGATCACTCTCCTTACAATGTGTATGATAATCAAGGTGGGCCATTTCCAGCACAAATCCAGGTTTTAACAAGAACGTCGGGGGGGAAGGGGGGGTAGGAAAAAACAAGGAGAAATAGGTTACCTTGCATAATGACTTAGCCACTCCCAGTCTCTATTCAAGCCTAAGTTAACTGTATCCAGAACTGGGCAGGAGGGTCTCATGGGACACTGCAGTGGGTACCTACCCCACCCCTAAGAGCTAGAGGCACCTGCCGGGAGGCGCGGTGGGGAGTCCCGGAGGTGCTTACCTGGGGCAGCTCCCAGGAAGCATCCAGCAGGTCCCTCTGGCTCCTAGGGGCAGGGGAGTGTAGCTGGGGGGGGAGCAGGGGGAGCGGCCGCTCCCCCCACTGATCACATCAAAAGTGGTGCCTTAGGCGCCGACTCCCTGGGTGCTCCGGGACTGGAGCACCCACGGGGAAAATTTGGTGGGTGCAGAGCAGAAAAACCTCGCAGAAAAACCGGTTCTAAAAGGGCTTCTAAATTTAACAACCGGTTCTAGTGAACCAGTGCGAACCAGCTCCAGCTCACCACTGAGAATATCTCCCTTAAATAAAGCCTTCTGAAGGAACACTTGAACTCTTGTAAAAGCCAGATAAAATTTAAAAGTCCCAAAACAAAAGTGTCTAGATTCCAGCAGCAACTCCTTGTGTTATAAGGCCTCAGGCCTCTCTGCTGCCTTTCCCCTTTTGTTCAGCGTTCCTCACAGGCCCTTCTGCCTGGAGAGCTTTTGCAGTCTTTCCTTTACTTGTTCAGATTGTCTCCCAGACCTCCTTGCCTGGACACCTTTTGGCTTAGTTCAGGCTCTCTGGGATTTCCCCTCCTCTGGAACTTTCTTTCTCCTCAGGAGATTTGTTCGGCTGTGCTCTTCTAAGCCTTACAGGGTACGTCTACACAGTGAACGGCAGTGAATCTCAGAGCCCGTATTGACGGACTCAGGTTTGCGGGGCTTGTGCTACAGCACAAAAAATAGCTGTGTAGATTTTGCAGCTTGGGCTGGAGCTCCGGTTCTGAAGGCCCCCCTCCCTCGGCTTTTGAGCCTGAGCTGCAATGTAGCATAAGCCCAAGTTGTTGACCCTGCCTCAGAGGCTTGCTGTTGCTCACTATATAGACATACCCTTAATAGGCTCAAGTGCTCCTTCCTGAATTAACTACCTATTAACTAACCCCAGCTAGACCTGGCTTGGCTCATTCACTTCAGTGGAGCCTCTCACAGGATAGCTGGGCATTTGATTCCCTTAATGCTCCAGCCCTATGAAGGTGCCTTCTCGAATCCTATGAATCTACAATCCTAGTCACAACTCCAGCACTCACTGAGCTCAAAGACTTAGATAATTGCAATTTTAGCCTGATAGGTGGTGGATATTTCAGCCTAGCCCTTTGACAACCACAGTACCCAGATAGATGGGATACCATTGGACAGAATGATACTCTAGAGGTGCATAGGAGTTTATTTTTCCATTTTGAAATGTTTATGGCCTGACCTCAGTGAGTGGCCGGGGACTTTCACAGGTCTCCATGAACAAAAGTTCTGAGATCCCCTATAGAATGGTGGGTTGTTTTTTTTTATTATTTCTCTGGCATGAGTCTGCCAGAACTAAAATTAAGCACCTCCCTAGGTCTGGTGACTGCTTATCATTGCCCATACTTTGTGACTGTATTATTATAAAGACTATTTTCTACCTTAAAGTGGAGAGACTGTGCTAGATGGTGTTAGGGAATTTGGACAAATATTCTGAGCATAACTGAAATGTTATATTATAATTGTATTTTGAGTGTGACAGCCTAAGACCTCAAATACCACTACAGTGTAATCTAGTAAATGAAAGGTAAAAGTCTCATACAGACACTCAGCAGGTTTCCAGAAGCTTTATTCTGTGATTTGCATAATTTTATGGTGCGGAGAATATAGAACATGGAAAGTTGTCAGTTATTTTGGACACTGTGGTACTACTGATCTTCACTTTTTGTTCCTCTCTCATTTTTGAAAGGAAAATCAAGGGTAACATTTTGAAAAAGAGGCAGTTTTCTTCAACTGTGGCCCAAAATGAAGACATCTGTTACATGATTTAGCTGGGAAAGGAGGTTATAGTTACTACTAGTTAATCCTGAAGGGATCCCGAATCAGGTTATTCTGTGAAGTGAAACTCTCCTTTCCCACCACAAAAAAAAACATCAAGAAGTTGCCCCATTAAGTCTATCATTATTTATATCTCTCTCAATATTCTGTCCTCTAACTGCTCTCTCTGTCACTGTGGTCAGCAGAATGGTTCTTCTCACTGCCCTCTACAAGTCTGAGGGGGATACTGGCATCTCTTTTCCCATTCTGCCCTATCCCTTTCACATGGGTATTGAGCAGGGGGTTGGACTAGATGACCTCCTGAGGTCCCTTCCAACCCTGATATTCTATGAAAGGAGGTGCTGGATCAGCTTTGGTGTTAGAAGTTATAAGGTGTGGTCTTTTCTCCAGAGTGAGCCAGTAGACAGCATATTGATCTTCACTCAGCTAGTTATACCCAAGGCTAACCAGAATGGCAATCAATGCATTCAAACAGTAGTAGATCCCTCTGTCCCCCATTAAATTTGGGACTTTGGCACAAATTATGTCCCACTTGGGCCCACTGTAACATGAGTTCAAAAAGCAAAACTAGTAATCATAAGACTGATTGGATGAAAGCCTCAAACAATATCCAAAAATATGAAAGGCTAGATTCTGCCAGGTGCTGAGTCCTCCTGAGAGATGCCTAATGCCCTCAACCTAGTTGATGTCAGTGGGAGTCAAACACACATCTTGTAGAATCGTACCCATATTTAACACTCCCTAACCTTGACAGTGACAGCTATCGCTACCGATTTTACATGGAAGGCACCATAGTCATGGGCAGCAGTATAAAATCCTAAAATAGATAGTTATTCCCTCTTCCACAGTACGACACATGGCAAGTAATTAAATGCCTGGGTTGCCTGTGAGTGGATACGTGTGTAGGAAGAGAATGAGGTCTATTAATTAGAGCAGGGAACTGGAAGTAAGACTTCTGGGTTCCATTCTCAGCTTTGTCTCAGTTTGTTATGTAATTTTTACCATAATCCCTCTATACCTTTGTTCACCCATCTATAAAATTGAGACAATAATACTTTAGCCAACTCACAAGGGTGTTAGGAAACTGATTTTATAAAAGTATTTTTCTTATGTTTTATTAAGTGATTAATTTATTACCGACATACAGTGTTTGATATTCTGTATTTGTGCATTGCATTTGATGACAGCTGCAATAATGATATAACTTAATGTAAAATGGAAATTTGATCAGCAAAGGGTCTGACTCTCCTCTCCCCCCCCCTTTTTTTTTCACCAATACAACTTGATTGACTTCAACAGAGCCTGTCACCGAGAGCAGTATATGAGCCCCCAAACTATAGCTAATGAATTAGATTAGGACAAACATAACCAAGGGCCATACTTAAAAGGGGGAGAAGTATTAAAACACCTCCTATAATTCATTATAGAGGATAAAAAACAGACCTGGAGCAGCTAAATTAATTCAGAGATTCAACAGCCATCTTGTGCCAGCAATTCCTCAGAGGTAATCCTTGTTAGACAATGACAGATGATAGGACCAAGGGGCATAATGAAAGCTAGCAAAAAAAAAAAATCAAAATCAAAACAGACATTAAAATAACAGTTCTTCATGCAGGAAATAATAAACGTTTGACACAGCCTAATGGGCCAGTTTGTTGGCACAAAGACACTAAGGGTCATTTAAGAAGCAGTTACACACTGTCCTGAGGAAAACATCATTGCAAAAATAATAAAGGATACAATTTGATAAACCAAATAGTCTGCATGTATCTTTGATATCCTTTATGTGGAAACAGTTCTATAAACACTTTCCCTCACATTTTAGGAAAATACAACATCAAAGAAAAAATTATACTCAATAGCTTTTATATTTTGTGTGGAGAATTAAAAAGTCCAGACTACTAGCTTGTGCAATAAAAGTATAAAACATTATTATTAGTCAAGTAACCGCAATCATGTTTAACCAATTATAATCTCATCAAATTTCCTGCTTTTGGACTAATTTTTCTCTTACATCTAAATGTTAATACAAGTGGTATAAATATTGAAGAATTAGTGAAATCTCATTATGTGACTCGGGGAACCAAGACTTCTCCGCAGCAAAACATGAGCATCTCATGAGCAATCTGATAATGAAACTCAGGACCAGCTGAGGAGCTAAATTGTCATGGCACCATTGACTTTAATGGACTTCAGGGGAGGATATGGCTCATGCTATAGTTCCATTCATCAGACAAGTTGTTAAAGGAAAGTCCTGTCTACTATTTCGGAACCCAAGAGAGGATAATCATAGAGTCTACTTTATATAGATTTTTAAATGGTGTGCATCACCATAGTATCTGAGTACCTTCCAGTGGTGTATTAAGCGATGTGACTAGCATCCATTACTTATGGTTCATTCTCATCCTTTTCTCAGAGGCAGAAGTGTGTGAGGGGTGTTTGGTTTGGTGTGTGAGAGGGGCAGGGATGTTATGTACATATTGCTGTGTGTTTATATTAGAGAAAGCAGGCAAATAAATGTGTCTTGCATTTCAAGTGGAATGTGATTAAATGTGGGATGGACCTTAGTTCTTGGGGGAGTTCATTAGACCCCCCCCCCAAAAAAAAAGTTCTGTTTCCCAGACAGATGAGCATTACCCTTATTGTAGAAAGTTCCATTGTGCCAGAGGAGTATAATTGTCAACCCTCTTCTTCATCCTAGAGTTCTGGTCAATCTTTTAGATATCCTAGGCCCGGGCCACTATGTACCTTGAAGATAAGGACTGAGATCTTGAATGTGACTCAGTCTATGGGAAGCTGTCAAGGTTCCTCCCCCACTCTGAACTCTAGGGTACAGATGTGGGGACCTGCATGAAAACCTCCTAAGCTTACTTTTACCACCTTAGGTTAAAACTTCCCCAAGGTACAAATTAATTTTATCTTTTGTCCTTGGAATATCCACTGCCACCACCAAACTCTAACTGGGTTTACTGGGAAACGTAGTTTGGACACGTCTTTCCCCCCAAAATCCTCCCAACCCTTGCACCCCACTTCCTGGGAAAGGTTTGGTAAAAATCCTCACCAATTTGCATAGGTGACCACAGACCCAAACCCTTGGATCTGAGAACAATGAAAAAGCATTCAGTTTTCTTACAAGAAGACTTTTAATAGAAATAGAAGTAAATAGGAGTAAAGGAATCACCCCTGTAAAATCAGGATGGTAGGTACCTTACAGGGTAATTAGATTCAAAACATAGAGAATCCCTCTAGGCAAAACCTTAAGTTACAAAAAAGACATACAGACAGAAATAGTCATTCTATTCAGCACAATTCTTTTCTCAGCCACTTAAAGAAATCATAATTAATGCATACCTAGCTAGATTACTTACTAAAAGTTCTAAGACTCCATTCCTGGTCTATCCCCAGCAAAAGCAGTATACCAACAGACACAGACCCTTTTGTTTCTCTCCCTCCTCCCAGCTTTTGAAAGTATCTTGTTTCCTCATTGGTCATTTTGGTCAGGTGCCAGCAAGGTCACCTTTAGCTTCTTAACCCTTTACAGGTGAGAGGATTTTTCCTCTGGCCAAGAGAGGGATTTTAAAGGGGTTTACCCTTCCCTTTACATTTATGACAGAAGCCAATGTAGAGAGCTGAGAACAGGTGTGATGTTCTTGCCATATCCTGCGTTGCTGCGATGACGTGCTGCAGAATCTTAGATTTTATGGCCAGAAGCAGATATTTTCATCGGTCTTGGAAACAAGCCTTTCATTCTGTTATTGTCGGACATGGCACTCATATTTTATATGCATAATGCTGAATCCTGTCATTAAAATATACTTAGGGGGCTATAGCATGTCATCAGTGGAAGTTCTGCACATGACCCACTATAACCTACAAAATTAACCATTTTTCATTCCTAAGTAAAATACTGTTTCAAAGTTTATCATATAGATTTTGTTTTTCTTTTGGAGTGGGTGGCTGGAATAAAGTGTTGGAGTTACAGCTCCACAGACTGAAGTCCTTTCTTTAGCCATAGATTAAGTACAACACCTGTAGCAGCTGCACAAGCTTCCACCACTCTGCAGTATCAGTGTAGCTCATGGTGACCTACATGGATCACCACTGGGGGAGGGCAGGTGAATTATAGTTCAGACTCCATAGTCTGTTTATTCCTTGCCCTCTCTACTGAGGCTAGTAACAAGGGTGCCAACTGAGGGCATGATTTTTATAATGTCAATATTTGCTCCCTTGGACTGAGTTGATAATGACCTATGTGGAATGAAAATGGAACCAAACACACAAAAGGCTGTTTGATATATCTTATTGTCTACCTATTTATCCTAGCATTTATACTGTGTTCATCATCATGGTATCTGAGCACCAATCCCAAATTCCATGGGCCACCTCATTCCCACAGGATTTTTGCATTTCAAAATTGTTGTTCACTTAATTTTAAGTTGATCAGTGGCTAAAGCAGGGGCTTAATATTTGTGAAAACTTGAGATAAAAAGATAACATAGTGAATTATTGCATTAAACAAACAAAATGAGGGTGTGTATTTTATGCATGGGGTTAAGGGCAGAATTTGTGCAAGTCCTTTCATCTGATGGGAGGATATGGTAGTGCCAGAGTCTCGCTGAACTAGACATACCTGACAAAATGCTGGGTTGATAAGTGGAATGATAAACTTTTAAATCTTCTCATTGAGACTTTTATTAACATTTATTCTACTGGAGGGACCATTTGACCATTTATGGAAAACTCTTTACCTTTTTCATAAGATTATTACTTCTGCCAAATCAGAAGTGAATCAGTAGAAGCAGATGTGAATCAGTACCTGCAACCCATGAAGAGTTAATCACTTTTGATGGGTTGCTCATAAAATGTGAGTGTTGACAACCCGGACTTAAATTCAATCAAAATAAGTCATGAGAGTTAACAGCACGTGAGCCATGTGAATACTTGAGTACATCTAAACATTTTTTCTTTAAAAAGCGACGTGTGCTTCAAAAGCAGGTGTAAAAATTATTACTGTCAGGTTGAAGTGACTGCTCTGTGTACGTAGGGGTTTTTTTTTAGTTTGTGTATGTGGGGATGTGGTAGTTTAGAGAGAATATATTGAATTTAAGCGGTAGAACTCTACACATAAAAATCATGCAAGGAAAAAGGTCTAGAACATAATACAGCTCTGTTGTAATTATTGTATCTAACAGGTCTACCTCAGCTTTGAGCCCAATTGTTGGAAAGTGAGTGAAAGTTCATAAAATATTATTAAAATAATGTGTAACAGTGAATGTTGATAGGAGGGGTATGCAAAGGAGACAGACAGGCTGGATTAGTCCAATCTAAAAGGGCTACTAATACCTCCCAAGGGTTGTGTTAAGAATGTGACTGGTAAACAAAGGAGAATGGAATCAGAAATAAATGGAACAAAACTGGTGTGTTGGAAATTAGGCCTAAGTGGTGGACAAAATAATAATGAGATGGGTTATTTTGCCCATCACCACCTTTTTGGGTGTTCTTAAAAGGATACTTTTGGTGTGTGTGTGTGCGTGTGTGTGTGGTGGGGAGGATAAGTGAGAAACAGGTCAAGAACTTAACTTGCATGGTGGTAGCCTGACATCCGTCTGCCCCTGGGCGAGCCACAACAGTCTCGGTAATCAAAGGGTAGAGTCCCACCGAGGGGGCAATCTCTGTAATCCGAGGCATCCTACCCTTATAAGGTGGGGGTTTGGGGGCTGAAGGGGACACCGAATCTGCCATTACAACATTAGGGGGGGTCTGGGGGCTAACATTAGCTACGACCGGTCCTGTTGGAGTCAAATTACAGCTCTGTAGAATGTCTGTTCTATCTCTGAAAGCCATAAACGCTTGTGCATACAGATGTTCATTCCATTTACCCGTTCGCTGACAAAACAAAACTAATTGGAGGATCGTATTATAATTGACTGATCCTCCCGGTGGCCACCATTCCTGGTCCTCTAGCCGATATTGAGGCCAGGCTACTGTACAGAACCTTTTCAATTTGCTTTTTGTCATTGGATCTGATCCAAACACTTTCCAGCGTGCTAGAATGCATTCTAGGGGCGTGCACTGTGCCCCGCCTGTAGTACTCTGTCCCTGTCCCATATTCCTGGATGACTCTGGGCATCCCCAGGTCTTAACAGAGAAAGTCCAGACCACTGGACTGTTCCTACCTTTTCCACAGGACTGGTTCCTCACCGTCGCCTGCAGTTGCTTCTCCACTATAGGGGCGCGTTGCACCGTTGTGCCCTCCGGGGTCACCTGAGGAAAAAATGGCCCTTGCTGAGTGTAAACAGGCAGCAAGTAACGCATGAAGCTGCTCTTCTCAGAGCCCAGCTGCTGTCTCTTTCCACACAGGATTTGTAACGCTTGCTTCTATACAACCAAGCAGTGAGCATATGCATACTATTAAGCTTAACGGCCAAGTGCTCCATGGTTGGAGAGATACGGGTGCAGAGATTTCTGTGGTAGGGAGGGACCTGATCCAGGAGAAGGATTTGTTGCCAGGGAAAATGGCAGAATTAGAACTGGTGGGAGGTTACAAAGTCCTTGCGCCTTTAGCTAAGGTACACATGGAAACTGGTCATTTGCAGGCTGAGCTGACTGTTGCAACAGTGGCACACAATTTTGCACTGTTTCTACTAGGGAATGATTTCTTTAATGTGGCAGGTTTCAGAGTACCTGCCGTGTTAGTCTGTATCCGTACAAAGAAAAGGAGGACTTTTGGCAACTTAGAAACTAATAAATTTATTAGAGCATAAGCTTTCGTGAGCTACAGCTCACTTCATCGGATGCATACAGTGGAAAATACAGTGGGGAGATTTATATACACAGAGAACATGAAACAATGGGTGTTACCATACACACTGTAAGGAGAGTGACGAGGAAAGGTAAGCTATTACCAGCAGGAGAGCGGGGGGGGGGGAGAGAAGAGGGACACGGAGGGGAGAACAGGGACATGGGGACCTTTTGTAGTGATAATCAAGGTGGGCCATTTCCAGCACTTTACAAGAACAGTAGGAGGGGAAATAAACAAGGGGCAATAGTTTTACTTTGTGTAATGACACATCCACTCCCAGTCTTTATTCAAGCCTAAGTTAATTGTATCCAGTTTGCAAATTAATTCCAATTCAGCAGTGTCTCGCTGGAGTCTGTTTTTGAAGTTTTTTTGTTGAAGAATTGCCACTTTTAGGTCTGATGTGGCAGAATCTGTCCCAGGGTTGGTCAGCAGTGAGAAGGAATCTTGTGCTAAAAGCCCTGGGGATGAAGTGGGGATGAAGTCACATGGACTGCTGGGGGGAATGGGAGGACCTCTCTTAAATTCCTCTGTAGCAGTGAAAAATGCAGCTTTGGGGGCAGGGATGGTTGTAACCAGTTTCTGTAGCACTGGGGCTCAAGGCAAGTCCCAGAGGGAGGGGCTGGACGAAGCCAGCTCCTGTCCTGTAATCATCTGCCCGGGCAGGGGAATGTTCCACCTTGTAACAGGGAGGCCACCCCAGCTGCTGACTGCCAGGAAGTTGCAGGTCAGCAGGGGACAGGGCAAGCTCTGGGGTGCACAGAGACATGTATCCCAAAGGTGGAAGTTAGGGTCCTGGTAACTTCTGTGGTGGGAACAGACGCCGGGGACTCTGTAGCTGGAAGCAAGCCCAACATCAGGGAAAGGGGGAAGATTTTGCTGGCCAGTGAAGGGTCTGTCATAGCTGGTAGCTGTGAGCCCACAGCCAGACCAGGGTCACCTTCCTTTTTTGGGGGACACAGGAGTGTCTGACCCAGAGGGGAGCCCAGAAAGGGAAGTCCAGACGGAAGGCGAGGGGGGACTGGAGAGTCCGCCCACCTTTTGTAGGGAGGATCTTTCCCAGGAGGAGGGTGGAGAATCTGCATTCAAAATGCCAGACCCCTTTCCTGTGGATCAGAGTTTAAGGGAAAACTGGGGGTCAGATCTCCTGGAGGGGAGAGCCCCCTAGCTAACCTTTTGGGAACAGAAAGTGGGGTGTCTAAGTTTGTAAGAGATAAAACTGTCTCTTCAAGGCAGGAGGAAGGAAAACTTTGCCTTAGGGAAACTTCACATGTGTGTGGGGTCCAGCCCAGAGAAATTCCCAAGGGAGGGGCCGAGGGCAAGCATGGTTGCAGTACACCCTTTCCTTCCCAAAGCCTCAAACACATGCCTGAATTAAAAGCCTTCTCCAAAGAGGCAGAAGAATCTGCATCAGTGCACCTATCATGGTACACAAAGGAAGTGAAAAAGGTAATAGACACTAAACAAGCCAAATTGTATGAACAGAGCCTGTCTGCCATAGATTTACTGTTAATCTTGTGTCTTTTGCTACTTCATCTATGGGTCAAGACAAAGGAGTTAATACTACTGGTAAACGCTTTAAAGATGTGTGACATACCTGATTTGTGGAAGAAACTATTGTACATGCTAGGGATGGTGACAAGACAGTCCCACAGGCATGTTACTCTTCAGCTTATACCTGTAAACAGGCTGGAGGCTTGGCACAACAGCAAAAGCATAACAGGTCCATGTGGCTGTGTAGAAGGGGAAACTGAGGCACACTGCCTCATGGCATTGGTGGCTAAATGCCAAAACACCTACACTTTAACAGATATTGCTGTCTGCATTTTGAAAAAAGATTGAAAACCACTGGCATTGACTGAACCATTATAGGCCTGAACTGAGGCCTTTTGAAGTCAGTGAAATAGTTCCTATTAACTTCAATGAGTACGAGACAAGGCCTTGTGTGACAGTTTTCAAGTAATGTTTAAAAGGTATCAATAACCGAGGAATATCAATGATATCAGGAATTTTTTTCTTCCGCTTGTCCAGCTAGGGACAGTTATTTCATTTTAAAAGAGGATATTTTCTGGTAGTAACAACAATGCTTACCACTAACATATCTCATTTTTAAAGTGCTGCATATGCCATCCCACCCTGAGAGCCACATGCCGCAGATGCCTTTCCTGTGTCCACATAGTAAAGCCCACCAGCAACATCCATATTTTATATGATTGTCTGAACCACATGGGTAAAATTGGTTAGAATAATCCACTGAGATCACTGTTCTCTCCCAAACATACATTTTATATAGATAAAAAAAGAGGGCATTTAAGCACAAGTCAGAAATGGGCAATTTGAGAAAGTTCAACACAATACAACATTATATAGTGACCATTGCATGTCCCACACAGTTGCAGTCCTTGCGCATGGATGACTAGTCCCTCCCTATTCCTTTGGGGAGAAGATGGGGAAAAACTTGAGGGATATGGCCTGGCCCTCCTCCCATACTGGCCTGTGGAACAGGACTGGCCTAGTGATGGGGGTGGGAAGCTGCACTCCCTGACTAGCAACTAGGGCAGGTCTGTGCCTAAGCAGCATGAATGAGCACTCTGAAATCATGTTGTGTTTTTGGCGCCAAAGTCCACAAAAGATAGAGAATCTAATAACAAAGGAAATTATGTTGAAATGAAAGCTCCTGTGATTATTTTTAATAGAGTAGGTAGCTAATACATACAGTGCTTTCTAGAGGAAAATATATACACGGTTTAAAAAAAAGCTTCAAAGCAGTTTTATAACTGCTGTCCCTCTTTCCATTCACTGAATGGAGCTGTTTTCTCTCTCAGTGGGAGCTGACATTTTAATGATGCTTTCCAGCAGGGGTCCAGTTTGATGATGCAAAGGAGTGAAAGAATTGGATTTACTATTAGGAAGCATTAGGAATCAGAAAGTTTGAACGTTTTCATTCAATAAATTCTGTAATTTTACATATTTTTTGTTAATTGAATAGTTTATTTTTTTTAATTGCAGAACTTACCTTCCAACACTAAAACTTTCTGACTTATTCTTTCAACATCTAAGCCAGTCCTGTACAGTCTACTTTCATTAATGTCTCACTTCTTTTTTTAAAGGGACATTAAATTAACATTCCTGTGGTGGGAAGAACACCTCAAAGCCTAACACTGTGGCATTTAATTTCAGAAAGGGGAACTATGCAAAAATGAGGATGTTAGTTAAACAGAAATTAAAAGGTATGGTGACTAGAGGGAAATCCCTACAAGCTGCATGGACACTTTTCAAAGACACTATAATAGAGGCCCAACTTAAATGTATACCCCAAATTAAAAAACACTAAAAAGAACTAAAAAAGAGCCACCATGGCTTAACAACCATATAAGAGAAGCAGTGAGATAAAAAGGCATCTTTTAAAAAGTAGAAGTCAAATCCTAGTAAGGTAAATAGAAAGGCGCATAAACACTGCCAAATTAAGTGTAAAAATGTAATAAGAAAAGCCAAAAAGGAGTTTGAAGAACAGCTAGCCAAAAACTCAAAAAGTAATTACAAAATGTTTTTTAAGTACATCAGAAGCAGGAAGCCTGCTAAACAACCAGTGTGGCCCCTGGACAATCAAGATACAAAAGGAGCACTTAAAGACGATAAAGTCATTGCGGAGAAACTAAATGAATTAATTGATTCAGTCTTCATGGCTGAGGATGTTAGGGAGAGTCCCAAACCTAAGCCGTCCTTTGTAGGTAACAAATCTGAGGAATTGTCACAGATTGAAGTGTCGCTAGAGGAGGTTTTGGAATTAATTGATAAACTTAACAGTAGCAAGTCACCGGGACCAGATGGCATTCACCCAAGAGTTCTGAAAGAACTCAGATATGAAATTGCGGAACTATTAACTATGGTTTATAACCTGTCCTTTAAATCTGCTTCTGTACCCCATGACTGGAAGATAGCTAATGTAACACCAATATTAAAAAAGGGCTCCAGAGGTGATCCCGGCAATTACAGACAGGTAAGTCTAACGTCAGTACTAGGCAAATTAGTTGAAACAACAGTAAAGAATAAAATTGTCAGACACATAGAAAAACATAAATTGTTGCACAAAAGTCAACATGGTTTCTGTAAAGGGAAATCATGTCTTACTAATCTATTAGAGTTCTTTGAAGGGGTCAACAAAGGGGATCCAGTGGACGTAGTGTACTTAGATTTCCAGAAGGCCTTTGACAAGGTCCCTCACCAAAAGCTCTTACGTAAATTAAGTTGTCATGGGATAAGAGGGAAGATCCTCTCATGGACTGAGAACTGGTTAAAAGACAGGGAACAAAGAGTAGGAATAAATGGTAAATTTTCAGAATGGAGAGGGGTAACTAGTGGTGCTCCCCAAGGGTCAGTCCTAGAACCAATCCTATTCAACTTATTCATAAATGATCTAGAGAAAGGGGTAAACAGTGAAGTGGCAAAGTTTGCAGACGATAC